TACATGATTTGGTGCAGATGTTGAAGTAGCTCCAATCATTTTTATATCTTTACTTTATGCCAATCTTGTAGCTCCTTGTGGTGGTAAATTAAGTTAATACATTGCAAGCATTAACTCCTTCAATTGCTCTTGCATTTGTACCATTGCATTCTTCATTTAAGCAAGTTTTGACATGATAATACTTAGAAAAGAGAAGATATCTAATATTGCTCAAGACAAATAGAAGAGTGGACTTGAGAACAAAGAAGATACCAAGAACAATATTAGTTTAAAAGAGGGTAATCCGTAACTTCTAATATGATTATGTCTTATCAAGAGAAAGAGGTAATCCAATCTTAATCAAGATTAGACAAAGCTATGATATTGTAAGTACATTCTTATCAATCTGTCAAAGATAAGAACTTGATAAAAATAAATAAATAAGTGAGATATTTTTCAAAAAAAGATGACAAAATAAAAATAATTAAATATGTATATTAAGAAAGAAACTGGAATAGCTATTGCCAAAAGACATGAAAATTAGACATCCTTGAAACTAGACTATAAGCAAGAAATGAGTTGACAAGAGTGAAGAAGGCTTCAGTCTTGCCTCTATATATACTATCTACCTAGGAGCTATGTGGCGACGTTTTATAGGACCTCCAAAAATGTGTTCACTTTGCACAACACGTATTTTAATTTGCAAGGCAAGTTTTCTATGTGGATACTACATAATTAGCTTGTTTCGCAAGCTATCAATATGTTTGGCACGTGGTTAATTTGTTGACCAAGTTTCTAACCTATCAATCAAGTATAAACATATGTAAAGTCAAAGTAGCATCTATGAAGCTTTTAGGAAGCTTCTCTAAAAGATATTATGAAATCAATCTATTTTTATCTACTTCTACCTATTCATATCATTTTGGTAACAATTACAATAAATATATGTCCGTGACATGAACATACAACTTAGTTCACATCAAAAAATGAGATGAAAAAAAGATTACTTTTTAAACTAAGTATAGATATTTTAATATATTGACATATCTTTTTGACTTATAAATGCACCAACCCCTTTTCAACATTTGATAAATGATATTTTTTGTGATTTTCTTGATGATTTTATCATATATTATTTAAGCAACATTCTTATTTATTCTAAAAACACAAAAGAACATGAACTTCATATTTGTTATGTATTACAAAAACTTAAAGATGCATGATTATATGCCAAGATGGAAAAAATTACATTTCATAGTATTCAAGTTGACTTCTTAGGATATATTATTTCTAAATATAACCTCATAATGGATCATGAAAATATCCAGATTATCATAGATTGGCAGATTCTAAAAATAATAAGAAATGTATAATATTTTTTGAACTTTGTTAATTATTATTAAATTTATATAAAGAATTTTTTTCAAATTAGAACTCTACTTATACTTTTGACTTGTAAAGACAAACTTCAGTAGAATAAAGAAGCCAAAACATTGTTTGATGCTTTAAAGAATAAATTTATTTTTACACCAATCTTATATCACATCAAATTTTTTAAGGTATTTTTTTATATAAATAGATGCATCAAACTTTACTTTGAATGTAATATTGACATAAATAGGAGCAAATGAGAAACTCTATCAAGAAGTTTTTTATTCCAAGAATTTTTTAACAACAAAGATCAATTACCAAATTCATATTAAAGAACTTCTTGAAATTATAGATTCTTTTTACATATAACATTACTATCTAGAAGACACTTCCAGTTCAATCACTATATATTTGGATCACAAGAATCTTGAGTATTTTATGTCAATACACATATTAAACCATCATTTGGCTTATTAGAGCATGTCATTATTAAAATCACATATTAATTTAAAAAATAATAGGATTTGTTAGAAGCACTTTCTAGATTTTTTTATCTTGTACCAAAAAAAAGATACATAGATTTTGATCAATAAAGAATGGTCATCTTGAAGCTTGAGTAATTTCATTTTTGAATAATAAAATCAACATTAACTGTTGATTCAATCTTTCTCAAACATCAAATTTGTCCTATGATATTTTTATTTATGATATTAAAAATACTTCTTTTAAGTGTCATGATACTTCCAAATTCAACTTCAATAACAACCTACTTTATTTTAAAGGTTGTTTATATGTTCTAAAAAAAGAATCATATTTATGTATTCTTTAAGTTTGTCATAGCTTTTTAGGAGTATGAAATTTTGGATACAATAAGACTTTAGAACTTATATTTAGAGATTTTTGCATAGCTTCAAATGTAAAAGGTTATGAAAGACTTTGTATAATCATGTGAAATTTGCTCAAGGTAAAAAACTCCTTGTTATTAAGCTTATAGACTTTTTTAACTATTGCTTATACTAAAACAACCATAGTCTTATGTTTCTATGGATTTTATTATAGATCTTTTAAGTTTAAATTTATATGACTCTATATTTGTAATCATAGATTGTTTCACTAAAATGAAATATTTTATATTATGTACAAAAACTATTTTAGGTAATGAAATAGCTAAGTTTTTTCTTAAAAACATCTATCACTATCAAGGGTTGCTAAAAGATATTATATCAGATAAAGGAATAAAATTTGTATCAAGATTTTGGAAAATCTTTATTAAGATATTGATAATAGATATAAAATTATTTTTGGCCTTTCATCCTATAATTGATGGATAAACAAAACAAGTGAATGAAGTTTTAGAGCAGAATTTGAGTTGTACCATCAACTATCATAAAGATGATTGAACAACTCTTTTGCCATTGATAGAGTTTACATACAATTATTTGATATATTCTTATAGTTAATAAACACCTTTTTTGCTAATTATGGTTACTATCTACAATTGAATATCTTTGATTTTTCAAAATTTGATAATTTTGTAGTAAATGATTTAGCAAATCATTTGTAAAAGATACATGTAATAATAAAGGCATAATTAATAAAAGTTCAAGAATCACAAAAGATCGACAAAAATGTCTATTATAAGGAACAACAATAATTCAAGATGGATGAGAAGGTATGGTTACTTCATTGCAATATCAAGACTATTTGACATTATAATAAATTAGATTATTATAGACTTGATTTTTTTTTATTTGTAAACAAATCAATCTGATTGTTTCTTAATTATACCTACCAAAATCAATGAAGATTCACACTATATTTTATGTATTTTTTTTTAGCCATATAAGATAATAAATATCTCAAGAAGAAGATAAATACTACCTCCTTCTACAGAAGTGAATAATTATCAAGAGTTCAAAGTAGAAAAAATCTTAGATTCAAGACTGCAACAAAATAGGTTGGAATATCTTATTCATTGGCAGAGATATAATATTAGTGAACATACATGAGAGCCAATAAAGATTCTTGCTAATGTATTAGAAAAATTTAAATTTTTTTATCAATAACATCCATCAAAATTAAGATGAAGAGTCAAGTAATTCTTTGCTATAAAAAAAAGATATTCAATAAAGATTACATCCTATCTTCTATCCTTTACTATAACTTATTTATATTCTAAAAATTCTTAGAGATGGAGAATCTATAATTAATAGATTCAATTCAAGAGCCATTATTTGCTGAATTATTGGACAAGATATTGTAATTGTCATAACCTTGAAGATGACATAATAGACATGAAGATCTTCAAAAAAGACATGTTTTTTTAAATAGATGGCAAGATCTAATGCATTAGGTATCATGACATTGGAAGAAACTTCCAATGTTTGGTGATTTTATTAGAGGAAGAAACAACTTTTTGATGGTATAACTAATATTTTATTTTTAAAAAATTATAAAAGCATCAACAATGTTCAAATAACAAGGTAATATTCTTGCTTTAGAATAGAATATTATCAATTGGTAAGAAGACCTATCAACTATCTTCAAAAGGAACAACAATAGAGTATGTGGCAAATACAATTCGTCACATCTTAGACTTAATTAACATATGATCACTGTTCCTCATGGAACTTATCTCTAGAAAGAAATTTAGAAGTTAGGGTTTAGGGTTTCTTGAATAATTTTAAAAAATCACAAAAAAATTAAGAAATTACTTGTAAAAAAAATATTCAAGATTTTTTAGGAAAACCATTTATAAATACTATAAAGTATTATGAACCTTGTAATAAAGATTTAGAGAGTAGTCCAAAAAAATCAAAATGTATTAATTCTATGATCTTAATATCTCAATGAATTAAGTTTGTTTGGAAATCTTTTTCTATGTTGTTTTCCAACTAAACATTTTTCACATATGTCTTTTGAAGATGTTTTTGTTTTAAAAATATGACTTTGAGATTGTGCATTGGACAAATATTACCAATTTGGATGGAGATAGACTTTCTTGTAATTTAAGTCCTATAGAAGAGGACTTAATCAAAATTCAATAGCATAGAAATTATAATAGAGATGTAGATTTTGGATGGTATGAAATCACATGCTTCACTTTCATGTCTCACTCTACAACTATGATACTTAATTAAAGTTCAAATGAAGAATCTAATAGAATCTAAGTGATTAACAATATATGGAAGGACTTTGCAATCTTGCATAAGTTTTAATAAAAGATATTTTTTTAAACTATCTCTATTATAGAAAGAAATAGGATTTATTACCAAATAACAAGATTTTGTCGAGAGAATATTTTTTTTATTTTATGTGTGGTCTGATGGACCTAGGCACATACTTTAAGGCCAGATCAAATCTGATTAATAATAGATTTGATAAATCAAAATATTATTAAATTTGGCATATCAGATAAAATATTTATTAAAAAAGAAATATTTCTCAAGGTTTGGTATGCATTAAAAGTCCTTAAAAAAAAATCAAAGCACCCCACGTATAACACCATTTTGCACAACTTGACTGAAGTAGCCATTGTAGAGGCTAAGAAAAAGAACTAGTTTAATCACAGGGGGAAATACCGCCCCCGGTATCAGCCCCGATTTAAGCACCAGAATAACCCCCGGTAACATCCCCTGCAAAATCCCCGGTACCGGCCCCGCCAAATGCATCCGGTATTTGTAGTGGCAGTAGCGGCAGATTGGACCCGTCACGGGCACGAAGGCTGGAGTGCGAGCGATGTAGCATCCATTTCTCGTAGCCTCCGATCTGCCTCTCTCACTCAGTGCTTCTCTTTACCTCTTAGGCGGACTCGTTTGTCCCGTGGTGTCGTGAATTTGTTGCTGCGTGCTCGCCATTGTCGCAATCACGTCCAGGCTTGTGGCCTTGAGTTGTGTGTCTTCTGCATCGGTGCCGCGATGGGAATCTTTTTGGACGAGCCCAAGTTCCCTGTCATCGAGCGCAACCCTACGGCGTCGTCGACGATTTCCAACTTCAGCTTCAGCGACTATGTCCGCATCGCAGCCTTCACCGGTGGTTCTCTTCCCGTCGGTTACCTCGCTGGTGGGTTGCTCCGGTTCCTCTCAATACCCTGACAAGCCCTAAAATGACTCCCTCGTTTTTCTTTCCTTGGTTTCGTGTTTGGTTGGCTGCATTCGTGGTTTTCAGACTAGCGCCGACAAGCCTCAGGTGTTGTTTTGGTTTTGTGGAACGTAGGTGGGAGTGTGAACATCAGGGGGCCGTCCATGTACACGGCGGGAATTATAGGGCTGATGGGAGGGTTCATGTATGCGTACCAGTGCTCTGCTGGAAGGCTGATGGGCATGTTCCCTAATGACGATGAGGTTGCACGCCACAACCGTTAAGAAGCTCCACACAGTTCTTATCTGGCGTTTCGAGCGGGGTGGACGATTTTCGGCGTCTCGCCAATATCTCGTAGAGTTTCTTTAGGTTCGATCTGCAACAATTGTAGCAGCGTTAGTGAAATGCTTTATTAACTGCTGCCATCATGGTGGCTGTCTTTCTCTACGTTATTATCGTCATGTTGTGTTGATAATCACTAGGAATCCTATCTACATTCGAGGCACTGAATACTGGTCCTCTGTTTGTCTTCCAGTGAAAGTTTTTAGTGTAGAAAAATATGTCTTCCTCGGTGTATGTGAATGATTGATGCTTAGTTTCGATTCTAATGAGTGGTTCTGAGACTCTGTCCGCGTAGGAGGGCTTGCAGACCGGTGGGGATCGTTCATGAAAGTCCTTTACGATGAAATCATAGGATGTCGTCGGTGAGATTTGCAGTTAGGTGTCTGACGAAAGTGCCTGGAGGGATGTAATGTGTTTCAGCGTGGTAGAATCGTGGTATCATGTTTTGAAAGGAACCCTACTCTGTCTGGGGAAATAGAACTTTTGGCAAGTCTGCCATGGGTTATGACATGGAGTCATGCTCACGCCTTCTTCACTGGTCATTGGCGGGATCGTCTCTTGCAGTGAAAAAGTTGGCCAGGATTGATGCCACTGGCGTTCCTTGATCGCTCCTTGGTCACTGTTTTGTTGATAATGGCCGGAAGTTTTGAAGTTCAACAGCTCGGACACAACACAATCAACATGGAGGACAAAGACCGACAGTGGCAACGCAATTCTGTGACAGTGTCTAGTTCGAAACACCTGTCGCCGGGAGGTGTGCTTCACTGCTGTTGCGTAGCAGGCTTGGTCTAAATTTACTTTACAAGGCTGCCTTTCTTCAATTTGCTGCGATTTCCTCTTGAAACAGTCGCCAACAATATGAGCTACAGCAGGATATTTCCACTGAAGTAGTTGAGGAGAATCTTCCAATTCCGCATGCGCAAATCTCTGTTAAGTGGCCATCCGTGATAATGTAATGTTAGTCTTCCACAGCACATTGCGTCTCTCTTGTGGGTGTATATGGGTCTGCTGAATAGTGCCTCATGTTGAGGTACAGCAGTTCTGGCTTGATCGTAACCTCAGTCTTGTCTAGCGTCATCGACTTGATCAGCACGGCTTTGTTCGCGAGAATTACCGACCGTCTACCTCATGCAGGTTCCTGCAATATTTGTACATACGGCTCTGGTGTAGGACATTAGGCGCACATCAGTAATAACCTGTAATTGATTCGTCCCAAAGCTAGTATGCTATAGACGTCTGAAAGAGTGGCCTTAGCATGTCAGAGTGTTACATCGATCCTGACGGACGTTCCGTGGTTTTCAGCGTCTTCTTTCATGCTATGCTGAGAAGAAATCCTTGGAAACCCAACAATTTCTGCACTAGTTATAATGAGATGCTGTCGTTCTCTAGTCAAACGTACCAAATCTCGTCTCGATTTGTTGGATAGTATATGCCACGATTGAGCGCATCCTTCTGTTGCGAACCACGAGGGAACTCTCCTCAAGCATAATCCCTTCAATTGGCCAATTAAACGTGGCAGGCTACTGTGCCCCAAATGCTGGCACGTAACAGTCATAACGGCAAGGGCTGTGGCATCTGCAGGAGGTCACAATGGGTGAGAAAAGCTACGTATTCATACTTGAATTCTTTGCTGCTACTCTTACTGTTGTATTCCAGGCCGGTGGATTACTTGACTTCTGTGGAAATTTGTGATGATGCAAATTTCTGTAAGATGGCAATCTTGAATGATGTAAAGTTGGATCCCCAGGCACACCACCAAATACAAGTAATTTTGACAGAAAATTACTTGTATTTGGTGGTGTCAAAAGAAATTACTCATTGCTTTAAAGAATACAAAAAATAATATAAAAAATAATTGCAAATACATGTCATGAAACAATTTGCGGCATCTTAGACTTCCTCTACATGTGATCACAGCTTCTCGCGGAATTTGTTCCTCGAAGGGGGGATAATGTCATGGACATATATTTATTGTAATTGTTACTTATGTGATATGAATAGGTAGAAGTAGGTAAAAGTAGATTAATTTCATAATATCTTTTAGAGAAGCTTCTTAGAAGCTTCATAGACATTACTTTGACTTTACATGTGTTTATACTTGATTATATTTATATATATTCCAATATAAATGGACATCCTTGTCTCTTTGAACGTTAAAGAAAGAATTGCTCCAAGTACTCCATTCAACATTACTCTAATAGAGGTTTCAAAATATTGTCTCAGTACTAATTTTAAGCAATCTGTGGGAAGCCCATATATACTATGGTTTCTCTCAAGAAGTTCGAATTTATCCTGTCATAGGCCTTTTCAAAGTCTAAGAGGAAGAGGATGAGATTTGGCTGCTTTCTACAACCAAGTCCATTGAGGATTGGAATAAAAAGATGTTGTCAAAGATATAGCATCCTAGTACAAACGCAGTCTGAAAGCTACGTATCCAGGTAGGTAGGTAGGTAGGTAGGTAGGAGATCATTCTATTAGCTATAAGTTTGGCCACTATTTTATATACAATACCAAGTATGGAAGTTGGTGAGAAATTGTTCAAAAGTACCAACTCACCTCCCTTTGGTAGCAAGCTGATCTTGCTTGTATTTAGCGTTTGTATTGTAGAGCTTGTTTTGCTTTATTCACCTGCCCTCCAAGTTAAATAAGAGTGTAGTTTAAATAAAATCTATCTAAATGGGAATATATCATTGTTGGGGCATTACATCGATTGTCCCAAGAGAACTTCTTCATGGCTAGTTTCTTAAATTCGTCCGCCCTATAACTATCATGTAGGCATAGGTGTACCTATAAATTCCCCTAGGCTACTTGTTCTCTTTGGCCACGACCTGTGGTGTCTTGTCCTCCCTGCTTGTCATCTAACTGATGGATCATAGTGAAGTCTCCGCCTAGGATCCAGTGGGCTTTGGATAGTGATGTTGTTGTATTTTAGTCCATAGCCTTGTTCAAGATCCAGTATAATTAAATGCACATAAATTTATAATTCTGACTTTTAGACAAGGTGTCGATAGGAGGATAACATATTGTACCTCCATATTCGCAGATGAGGCTATTTTTTCCGATAATAGTATGCATGTGCCCCCTTTAAAACTGCCTTTGTGAATGCGGTAGCTTACTTCATTCCAGAGAGAGACGCCTCTTGCAAATTCAATCTGTTTTGTGTGTCTTTTCCCTTCTTCTAGTGATAACTTGTGCTCTTGAATCAAGATCATTTTTGGTTTGGGTTGAAAATTATGGAAGAAATCTCGTATCTCACGTCGCTTACGGACTCCATTGATGTCTCGACCCAGTCCTTGCACGTTTAGCCAAGCGAGAGTAAGGTGGTTATTCATCTATCCTATCCGTTTGCAGAGTTACGGACTTCCCTTCTTTATCATCTTTATTGTTCGGGGTAGTAGTGTTATGTTGTGACGTTGCAGCCCCTGTAGGTCTTGTGGTGTTAAAGCCAAGGAAGACTAGTGGTTCACTTGAAGCTAAGTCCCAAGCTTGTGTTCCGTCCTGTGTGCATCGCCCAAGGTCTTCTTGTATGTTCATGGGGAGTATTTCCCACTATTGCCTGGTGTTGTTACGCAGTGTACAGACTTCCTCATCGTATTTGATTAATGCTGTGATTGTGCATAAAGGTGGGTGTGTGGTCGATTTTGACCATGTGAAGAGCCAGCACGCGTCCTCCCACTCCCGAAGTGGATTGACATGTTTGTGTTTCAGAACAACTTGTCCCCGCATGTGAAGCATGGTCTCATTGACTACATGGGTACGGGCCGATAGTTGGGTCCATTATTTTTTGCTCCTGTCCGTGTGTCAAAGTGAGTATGTTTTGCGGTTTCCTTTGGATGCCCTCGGTCTCGGTGAGAACCTCTAAGACGCCTGTATTCTCTCTGTAGAATCCCGTCGCCACACATTCTAACCAACCAAATAACTCCAGCAGGCTTGGCACTTTGCACTTGCCAGGATTCGAATTCGAGCATGTACAGTGGCAGTGTATTATTCTACTACTAAACTACCGGGGCCTCGCAGCAGAGGCCGATTCCGCCACCGCCCCGCAACGCCCGAGAATGCTGCCCGCTCCCACGACTGCCTGCGCGCCTGCCCCACACTACACCCTCTCCGAACTACCCACTACCTGCCCGCGCTTGCTCCTCAATACCCTCCTCCCGTCCCTCCCCCGGTCTCTTATCTTCTCCAGAATGGGGAATGAATCCAGCCTTCACTTTGGTTCACCGTAACCCAATCGACCCCATCAACTCCCATCATCCACAACCCAGTTTCAGCCCTTGATCCACCCTTTGTCCTCAATCTAAAAAAACACGTCTATGATTCTCAAGAACTGGGTTGATCCATTCAATTTTTTAAGAAAATAGCCATAATAAGTTAATATTCTTGTCAAAGGATAAGAGACATGAACAAAAGACAATATATTGATGTGTCAATGACAAAGAATAGGAAACATAAGAAAAGAAAAGATAATTATAAGATAGAAATAAACTAGAACAACTACCATTTAGATTTGTACATTCAATGACAAAGAATAGGAAACATAAGAAAAGAAAAGATAATTATAAGATAGAAATAAACTAGAACAACTACCATTCAGATTTGTACATTACATCACTATAGTAGATAGCAAAACGTAAGGATCGAAGTACACGTACAGTAATAGAGTCCCCAACTTCGACAGATTGAGCGAAACGCACTAGATCCGCTAGAAGGAGGGGTCGAACCTCCGACCTTGTGGTTAACAGCCACACGCTCTAACCAACTGAGCTATTCCAGCAGCCACGGTACTCGTTGTCTGCCACTGCTGGGAATAAAGTCTAATTCTGTACCGTGACAGGGTATTATTCTACAATTAGACCACCGGTGCCTCTCAGCAGGTTTCGATCTCGCCACCGCTACCCGGAGCCCGAGAATCCCGCTTGATGCGATGTTTCTCAACCGTACTGCCCCGTCCTAAACCCTCTCCAAAACGCCCACCACCTGCCCGCGCCCGCGCTCGCGCCTCAACACCCTCCTCCCTCCCTCGTGTCCCTCCCCCGATCTCTTCACTTCTCCAGAACGGGGGAATGAATCCAGCCTTCACTTCACTTCACTTCGCTGCAACCCAATCGACCCCATTAACTCCCTAGTCCACGTCAACGTCCCAGGTTCAGCCTCTTGACTCACCCTCTGGGCCACCCCGTAACTGTATCACCAAACCACAACACCACGAAAACGCTATTTCCATCCCTTCCCAACACCTCCCCTCGCTCCACTACCTCAATCGCATGGGCAATGAAACCGAAGTTTCGAAGGTTTCAGCAGAGCATATTCAAATTCACTAGACTGCACATCATCTATTTCGATCGATTAAGTGGAACGACAGTATTCTAACAAGTTTTTCATGAGAACAGGGCCATAAGGAGATTCCCGGTTACTGTACGAGCAACTAACCAGAATCGGTTGCGAGGTGCTGAACGAGTCGGGCACGTGAGAAGCTGGTTTTGAAAGTGGAAGGATTTGAATGGAGAGAAGGCGGGTGTCCATCAGGATGGCGGGAGAGACGATCCATGCTAAGCTCCACTTCATCCATGTCGGATCCTCCTCTTCCATCTGGCTGCCCTCTTCCGACGAGCTCCTTCCGCAGGGTGAGAGTGCAAAAGGGATTTTTATCACCCTGTTTCCAGTTCCACCTTTTAATTGAGTCTACCCTTTCCATACTCCTTCTTTGGGATTTAAGGATCCAGTTACTTAGTTTGGACGTTTAAGTTTTTCAAGGAAATGAATTATTGAGCAAAGAGAACTCTCATGGAATTCTTTATACCTTTTAACGGTTTTTTAATTTTTTTTTATGCACAAAGAATGTCGATCAGCAAGTTTGGCGTTAAAACAATATGTAGCATTCCTGAATTGGTTATTTTCATTGAAAATCCAACAGTGAAATCCCAAATGAGAAAAGGATGCTGGCGCGAGCAGCGGATGCTGTCATTCATCCGTAAGAGAGAGCGGCAGTGGTCAATTCAGCATGTGGTAGTGTCCAGATGAGGAACTTGGCCATGGTTGACACGCTGATTGCGTTGGAGGTGCAGCTATGGCGCTTGCTTCTGCGTCGTGCTTCGCAGCACTGAAGCCCCCAGGAGTGGATCATCACATCGCATCCATTGTCCCGATCTGTAGTGAAAAATTTCTTGGCTCAGCACGTGATTGTGGATATCTTACAGGCAGTCAATCGTCTCGAAGGTTGTGGGAATCAAGAAATCCTGCATCGAGAATCCAGACCTCCCATTCCCCGCAAATTCTAGGGTACTACACTTGCAACGACCGCGTGCATTACTGCAAGCCATTGGAGAATCCAGCGCTCAGTACAGGATTCGATTGCTTTGTTGTAGAGTCATTGCAGAATTTGCTGGTCAGTCACTGTAGAAATATTGGCGGTGGAGGTGCAAGGAAATTGATAGCGAGAGCAGCGGGTTCTATGATGCAGCAGGGACAGAACAATGACGCAATTCTGTTGGTTGGGGTTACTGGTGGGACTGGGAGATCTGCCGTGAATGGCCTTCTCGCTTCTGGAATCGAGAGTTCGAGGCTGCGCTTTTTGACTCGCTCGCCGGAAGGTGCTGCAGCTCGCAATCTTGCGGGAATAGGTGCGCAGGCAATTGCAGGAGATTTGGACGATGCGAATAGCTTGAGCGAGGTCATGAAAGGTAGGTCAATTTGAAGGTTGCTTAGGAATTATCTGGACGAAAGCTCGAATCAACACATCACAGAACATTGCCCCTTCGAACGTTCGCACAGTAAATGGTTTTGAAGATTTAATTTTGGTTCGATCAATTGTAGCCAGAACAACTGGAAGCTTTAAGCTGCAAATTGAGCTATGGTCATGGAATGTTCGTCAGACGTCTTTCAACTACTCGCTTGTCATTTTTGCCAGGAGTAAGGGCCATCTATTGCCATGCTACTAGCAAAGATGGTGCGCAGGCTGATCCAGCAGGTGAAGTTCGAGCGGAGAGACTAGTTAAAGCTGCTGATTCTGCGGGTGTCGAACACATCGTTTATAATAGTTCAGGTATTGCTTGTGGAAATTACGGGAAAAGATATTGTGGTGGCCTGTGTAATATTTTCACCAGACCACCAGATATCCCAACGAGGTGTAATATATTGAGAGACGAATGCACCTATCATTCAATGTTAGTGTTATGGCTACTCATCCTCTGTCTCCCTTGTGATTTGCAACCTGTATGCATCTTTATTCTGATGTTGTCCTTGATATGTGTGTGAGTGAAGCATCTCCTGAGAGTGACAACACGTAGGACAGGATTGAAATGGTGTAAATAATTGTGCACTTACATGTTTGAACGCCTCTAGGGTAGTAAGTTTATTGTTAAAGTTTGTTCCTGTAGGAGGTGCTGGGCATGGAATTTCTCAGGTGGAACAGAAGTTCAACATCGAAAAGATATTTCGGGACTCAGGCATACGGACTACCAATCTTCGAGCAACTATGTTTATGGAAGAGTTTTGGAAGGTTTACACAAGACCTCAAATCTTGAAGGTTATTAAATTTTACGAAACCCCATTTAAAGTTTTCGGCCTCTTGTGTCCGCTTTGCCTGCCATTTGGTTATTTTATCATCTGAGCACTATCATGAGGGTCGTCAAGTTACGGTGAAATTACAAATATAGGAAGGAAAAGTGCATTTGCTGAAGACATCCACCATTCTTGTTCAGTGTGCAGAAGTTCTAATAAGTTCATGTCTCTGTTTCGTATCCGGCTTACACCGGGTATGGAAAGCGAACGCCAAGCATTCTGAGTCTGTGTGTGTGATTTCAGTTTCGATTTCTCACGGGATAATTCTTTCTCGAACTTGTTTTCTCACAGAAGACTCTCTCATCTTTCTTTTTCTTGCTCATAATTACAGGGGAGTTTCCCTTTCAGCATGCCGAGTGACAAGCCCCTACAACTGCTTTCAGTCAAAGACATGGGGTTAGCCGCAGGAATTGCTTTGAAGGATGTACGTGCATACTTGTATCTGAACTTCAAATTCTAGTGCATAATCTTGTGTTGGTAACGCATTGAAATCCATACATTGTTCACGATTTTTAGGACCATTTATGAAGTTTCACTGAAGGACATAAGCTGCGTCTAATTGACTAGTGATGTTACGTAGCCAGAGGAGTATGGTGGAGTAAGTTTGGAGCTGGCAGGGGATGAGCTTACTCCAGCACAAATGTGTGAAGCCTACTCAAAAGCTCAGAATTCAAGTGTGAGCCATTTCAGCCCTCCGAAGTTCTTGTTTTGGTTCTTGAACAGGCAAGTTACCAGTACTTCCATTATGCGCAATCTCACAGCACTCCGCTGATCTTAGCGAGCTTTGAAATTTCGGATTTGAAATGCGTGTCAAACATGATGTGTTCCAATAACACCTTGTTGAACTTGTGAAATTGCTTATATTATGAGTGGTGATTTCGCCACGTTCACACGAACAAAACTTTGCTCTTAGAGAATGGATATGGAGAACTTGACAACGCTTCTTTTGTGTGCTCCAGAGACCTGTACAGAATAGCAAAGTTTCTCTCCGAGGAAGGTTATGAAGCAAACATTGCTGACTGTCGCCGACGTTTTCCAGGATTGCTTACTTTCAGTGAATTTCTGGAGCTTACCCACTGGGGCGATACCTCTAGAACTTACGCTGATGGGTTCAAATACTGAGGGATTACAGTGAAGATACAAACGCGTGGTTGATTTTTAATATATGCCGGTATCTTGTTGATGAATCTCAATCTTAATTTTGCAAGTGATCTTACATTATTTTCATGGATACCCTCAGTCTTGTGCCGAATGAATAATGACGGGTAGCATCTGGACAGGATGTTTTGCCAAGGTTCGAAAACTTGTCTCATTTCTTGTGACATACCAACATGATTGCATTTCTTTGTCACGACGATAGATGTTACCACTGAAACGATATGAAGAGATGTGAGGGTTTTAGGTGGAAGTTGGAGTATGTTGTGGACCATTTTGGAGCAGTGTTTGAACTATTTGAATTTTGTGTAATTTGTGAAAAATTTATCGAGATTGTGGTCATTGCACAACTCTATTATATATAAGTAATTTTATTGTGGCATCTGCTTTGTTTTGGAAATAACGTGTTCAAGCAAATCATTGAGGTGTGATTTAGGTCTAGCCTTCAGGAATCTTGCTTTGTACCAAAAGTTGAATAGAGCATTTAATTTTTATCATGCCTAATCAACTAAGATGTTTTTGCTACATACATATATATATCAAAGACATCGTTCATTAAATACTAATTATTAAATTATTTCTTTTGAATTTAGTTAATATTTTTTTCATTCTGATATTTTTTCCAAATATTATGTAAACTCTAGTTAATACTTTTTTGTTTTGAAAATATCTCATGTACACAAAAATTAATATATTAATTAATAACACAAAAATAATTGGCCAATAAAAACACTAGTTTACATTTCTTTGTTTCCTGTTTTTCATATAATTTTTTTTCTTTTCTTTTTATTATAAAATAGACAATTTTTGAAATTCAATCAGTATTTTATAAATGATCCTCATTTCAATCATAGAAATAACAGTACTATGTTGCACAAAAAAAAAATATTGGGTTTCCAATGCAACAACAAAATGAAACATCACATACCACCTACTTCATAATTCTTCAGAAAAAAATTACTCAAAAACATTAAAAAAATCACTCATTACTAATTTTTTGTCAGGTAACATTTGTTTGTTTATCTCGACAATAGGATAACTTCTCTAAAGAAAAATACGCGCATGCAGTAAATGTTTTACACCAAACTTTTTGCAGAATCAGCAAGTGGCCCACTATCAAGAATCAATCTGGAACGACTGCGGAGACATGCGAGCTATTTTTGCATGTGGGTGTATCAAAGGAGCACACAGTTTATACTGAAAAAGCGCAACATTCTCATGCCTTAAAATGTTGATGAGGCTTCCACGCTCTTGTGGAGATTAGGCTACAGACTGAGATTTAGGGTTTGCGAAGGTGTGTTCACGGTGAGAGTGTGAGTTGCAAGACGACGACGACGAGGAGGAGGAAGAGGAGGAGGAAGAGGAGGAGGAGAGTGATTCCTAGCAGGTAGAAACGATGGAGGAGGCCGCGGGCGATGAGGAGTGGTACACGATCGCGCTGTGGGGTTATTTCGCCATGGCTGCGATCATGTTCGTTCTAGTGAATTTCTGCTTGTCTGCGCCATACGGGCGCCATGTGCGGAGGGGCTGGGGTTTCAGCGTGCCGGTGCGAGAGGGTTGGATTATCATGGAATCGCCAGCTTTGTTCGTTATGGCACTTGTCTACCACGCGGGCCAATTTCACTTGCAGCATGTTCCCCATGTCCTCCTAAGGTACAGTCTTGTGACAACTTCGGCAGGGTTTCGATTGCAAAAGCATTTGAATTCATCGCACCGTGTGTGTGTATGTAAACATACCTGTATCGAGTATCGTGCTTAATTGTTTGCCACTTTTTCGGATTCCTAGCCAGCTGAATGATTGTGAGAGGGTTGCATGGTGGATCATCATCTTGGATTGGTGGGGTTGAATCTCAGTAGTGATGTCTTCTTTTGACCAGAATGCATCAAATGCATTACTTCCACCGAACGCTTGTATTTCCCTTCCGCATGCGAGCCGATGGGAAGGCCATGCCAGCCGCCGTAGTGGCCTCAGGATTTTTTTTCAATGTATACAATTCATACATTCAAGCACGGTGGATATCCCACATTGGAGTTTACCCTTCCTCGTGGCTGACAAGCCCACAATTCTTGCTGGGCGTCGCGATCTTCCTGGTAGGATTTTTGGGTAATATCTGGGCTGACAATGTGTTGCTGAATCTGAGGGACCACAAGGAAGACCGGTCATACAAGATTCCAAGAGGGTTTCTGTACGAGTTCATCACATGTCCCAACTATTTTTGCGAGATAATCGAGTGGCTTGGCTGGGCGATCGCGACGAACTCGGTTGCTGGGTTCTTCTTCTTTCTGTCCACTCTTGCAAATCTAGGACCCCGTGCGAAGACCCATCACGAGTGGTATCATAAGAAGTTCAATGATTATCCCAGGAATCGCAAGGCTCTTATACCCTTCTTGTACTGAACAAAAATGTGAAGCATGAGAAATCTATTAGAGTATGTGCTCTCGAGATTGAAAGATCCTGTTTTTCATAGTGCATTAAGGTGTCGTGGAACTGCACTTGTGACCCTAAAATCCTGCCAAGCCTTGGAATTCTGCAACCCCGAGCAAAGCAGGCAATGTCACTCCCATATTGCTGGGTGTTTCATCCGTGAAACACAGTGGGTTAATTACTTAAGCAAGAGCACAACAGGTAATGTTCCGGGTTTGCATTCCTGTAGAAGAAAAACTTGTAAGCATATGTAGTATTAGCAGAAGTTTGTGCTATTGAACATGAAAATAGTTCTTGTCATTTCCAACCAATCTCCCTTTCTGGACTTCGGAGATATTTCATGTGCACTCCCTTTGACAAAGTAAATATATAATTTTGACCAACAAAAGGAGTTGTTAATGGAGATTGTTTGTCTTGATTGAGTATCTTTCATTTGAATTCTCTTCTTTATTATGCAGATTTGGGCCTTTCAAAGTGGGGAATGTATTTACAATGTTACATATGAACTCTTTCAAATGGTTTTATCTATCAAATGTGGAAAACTGAAACAATGCAAAGATTGTTTGCTAAAATTGACAAAAAAGTATTATTGATAAAATTTGGAATTATGGTTGAATCATAATAATATTGAGATTTTTTTATTTAAATGTAAATCTATCTTGATGATATTTTATATCTGTTATTTGTTTTATAAAGATAAACATAAAAAATTATTATTACAATGTTGTGCATTATTTTGACTTTCTTTGGCATGTAGTTTTTAAAATTAATTGTAAATAATGTATTCTTTCAAATTGAATTTAGTTTCATATGGTAAGTAATTGACAATTTTTTTTCAATTATGTTTTATCTTTTTTATCTTATATTTTATTGTCTTGTATTTTTTTAATTATCCAATATTTTTACCATATTATGGTCAAACCTTATTGATTTACATTTTTGTTATATATTTAACTTCTTTCTAATTACCTTTTAATAGAATTTTTTTATTAATCATAATAGTTAATACATAAATTAAATAATTTAGTTTCTTAACATAGATATATATTGATTATTTTATAGTTTGTAATTCTATTAGTAGAAAAATAAAGTTCAACCATTATTGGTACAAAAGAAAATGTTTATTTTTTATTTTTCTACTTATTGTAAAGAATGGAATATGAATTATTTAATAAGATATTATAATAAATAAAAATAAATAAATATTTTTGTAAGTTCTTGTTTTCAATTGTTAACTATTCTTTTAATATGTATTCTAGATAAATGTATCTACAATAATGAAAAAGAAATTACTCTTAAGCATATAAGTAAAAAATATCTTTATAGAAGACCATAAAAGAAGAAGTAAAAAAAATAACTTTATCAAAAGGTTTATTTTTATTTCTTTCAGGTTAGTATAAAAGACAATGTCTTATTAATCTTAGTTTAGATCTTATTTTATTACTTAATAAGAAATAAATTATATTAAAAATGACATATCAAAAAAAAAATTATATAGTTTTTACATGCATATTATCTAATTTCTACTAAATCTTCTTTATAAAGTTAATAGTAGCATTACTACATAGAAAATATTAAGTATCAAAATAGTTAAACTTGAATTGTTAAAAAATATTGGAAGATTATCAAACACATAAATAACAAATTAAATGACCAAATATTATTAATATAATTGTAAACTAATTCATCTAATTGTTGATTTTTTTACAATTAAAAAAACTACAATATTATTAGGGAGTTGTTAAAACCACATCTCTTCTTAACAATTTCATAATTGATTCATTCTATCTCTTGTCTCCTTCCTCCATTCACCCTCCCTTATTCCCTATTCCACGTCTCAAAATCCCCCCCACCCCCTCCCCTTCCTCCCTCATCTCCATTCTCATTCCTCATTCTTTGTCTCCCAATGTTCCTTGCATGCAATCAACATAAACTAGCATATTTTGTCTCCAATTCTTCGAAGTCTCTTACATCATAATGTATTGACCAATTCCATTTTTACATTCCAACATAGGATGTTAGAACTCCTCGGCCCATACTACAAATACGTCCTATACTTCCTTGCAATAGGGATCAAGCACAATGACCATCACATCACTGATCAATCTAGCAAAGCTTGAACAACTTGGGCAAATATTTCTCACCATTCCACATTCCAATAAATGAGAGAATGACTTGACAATACCAAGGTCATTGCCTCTTGTCAAAAATGGTTACTAGCTCTTAAGACTTCCTGCAAAGTTACATATATTGACACAAGACCAACCTTCTTTTCCAATTGCTTACCACCAAAAATTGGCAATGGGACTTACAATCTGTGATAGCCAATTCACCATATAATACTTGGTGATCTTCTTATGACCTCCTCAGAGAGTTGCATTGTTGAGAAATTGACCTTCACTCTTCATTGATCGAAGTAACACATACTAAAAAGTATCTAAGTAATTCTAGTAGTATCCAAGTACCCCCTTACAAACATCAATGTTAGGCTCAAAGAAGGTAGCAACCAATCCACACAAGGAACAAGAGATGGAAACAAAGGCTGGAGACTAGGAACATGGGATGAAATGTAGGAACAAAAACATCAATTCTTATGTTTATATATATTAACTTATTCTCATAATAATAGTAGGGATAAACTATTTTATTTGCTTATTGTATATTTAATATATATGATAGCATCGTATTGTACAATAATCAAATAGACTTGCACAAAAAATAAATTACATATTTCAATGTTAGTAAATAAATAAATTGTACCTGTATATGTATCAAAATAAATGAATAAATAAATTGTAATGCTTCAAAAAATTAGAAATATCAACTACATGAGCTTATTTTAAATTTATCTTTATTATATCTAATGTCTTTAAAAATGGTTGTGCTGGCATTAGACATTATTCTTGATTTTTCTTCATAGGTTTCATATGCTCATCACTTCCATGTACCCTGCTGATACTCTGATTTGGATTTACACAGTTGTTGAAACTTTTGAATTGCATATTGTATATGTGATGCTTAGATTATGAGTTAGTGCAAGTTCTTGCGTACAATCCGCAGAATTTTGTTTTATTTATTTTAATTTTTTTGTGACTAGTGTAAGCATTTCCGGTAATTTTCTTCTGACACTTCAGTCCATGGTGAGTTGGTTGCATAATGGACTCTGCTGCTTTGGATTGGTCAGATTTTAAGCCCAATAGTGACATATCCTGCTGCCAGGATGCATCAATTGCTATCATCTGCAAGTGTCGAGCATGTGGAGTAAAAATTTCAGAATCAAGAATAACGATAAGTTCCAAGCAGCTAACAGGTACTTTTAGTCCACACAATCTGTAATCTTGTCTATCTAATAAGGACCAACAGTAGCATCAGAGTGCAATTAAGTTCGTGAATTTTCAAATTCCGATCTTGGATCAGCATATTAAGCGTCGATAGTTCTGGATGTGGCGGCTGACACCACATAGCTGAATAGAAGATCCCGATTCTTTGAACCTGTTGAGAGGATACCTGTATTCCACAGGATCCCACCTATAACATCCCGAACTCCTGTAAATGCCAGATTAGACAAGATTCAGAACTCAACGAGTTTGGTCAATGAGTTTATATAATTGACTATACTCTTCAACTATGGTTAGCTAGATAATTTAAGGATCTCTTAATGCAATCAGGCATCTGCGAAAGTATTTTAAGAGCTATCAAACCAGAGCGTATCTCCTTCGCCAAGTAAGACACATAACGGCATACCAAACACTAACTCGCTTTGAACCAGAATGATGCATCAACTTGGCAAAAACGGCCACCACTGAGGGCTTGTAGTATTTCTCAACTTTTTTTCACGAACCTCTTGGACAGTTACAAAGATTGCGACGCGTTTCTCATTACATCATTTCCTTGAGAGAACGATCTCCAGCCACCAAACAGGTCACGAAAAAATCATCTACAAATCTTTATTGACAAAGAATCACGACAATCATGAAAATCCCAAGTATAGGAAAAAATTGTATGAGGCGCAACAGGGTCAACATCGTCAGAATACTCTCCTGAACCAGACAGAATCTATCATGTTTACAACCTATGGGAAAACAATGTGCCGTGCATCACTGATGCAAAACCAGATCTTGTTGCAGACTCATGACTGCAGAATAACCTCCACAAGCGGTAGGTTTTTCTGCCTTTTGGATATTAGAAGACCCATGAAACTGACCCCAACGACGGTTTTCAGTTCTGCTCTGACTTGGCCATGGCTGCCATGAAGGAGACATGAAGATATCATAGCGACCCGTGCTCGTATGAGATGGTAGATCCTGACGAAATCAATAGCTTGGGGCGTCAGTACATCAAAACCAAAAACTAAATCCATGGCTAAAATAATATCAGAATATTGATAACAGCTGAATAACATAACTGACTCAAGATGGTTCTCTTCCTTTCCCAATCAAGGAAAAGAGTCCTGCAGCCAACTTCAGCATACAGAAAAATTTCCAAGAAACAATGTTTAGACAACTCTAATCCTTCGTGCTTACGAAATAAATTCGAGCCACCAAGTACAAGATACACCCGCATGCTTACCTCAATAAATGCAGGAAATATACCTCTCGGTGGAACTACATAACAAACAGGTGCTGATAAAAGCGCAGCATACAACAAAATCTAAGAAATTTCACCTGAGCCATATTCGATCCGTGGGCGAGTTGATCCGAAACATTGCCTCTATCACGTTGCTCCCAAGTACCTCGTTCCTCCTGCACACTACCATCAGCATCTTCCATGGGATGGAATACTTCCAATGGAATACTTCCACTTGTCCGAATACGCTTCGTGCCCAGGGGACTGGGCATTTTCGCTAACCTTTGAGAAAGGCAGTTCACTGATTCTGCTTGGGCGGCCTCCTCAGTAGGGTCTTTCCACCGCCTTTTGCTTCCAGCCTGCGCTGTCATACCTAGGTGAATAAAAACATGTGAGTGCAGGGTAAAAGCAAGAAACGCAATAAAGCTCCATTGAAGCAAGAAACTACGATCGATATAAAAGCTCAAAAAGTACCTTCCACCCCAACAAATTTCAGTTAAAGAACAGCTTCAATGGAAGTTTCACGAGTATGAAGAAAGCGGTTCTTACCGGGCAATGTATTAACTCGGCAAAGCAAAGACGACCCTGAAGAGTCATCTGTGTTCAACATCGGCAAAGCATCTACTCCGCAACTACAAACACGGTGGGGATCCTTACTGCAACGAGAACAGGCATTCTTCCTGCACAAATCGACGCGAACTAAGCAAATTCATAAAACCATGGAAGCAGAAGCTACATACACCCACGCACTTCAACATTGCAGAAAGAGAGTGCAGTACCATACCTGTACATATTGTCGACAAATTCGTCCACCAGTACTGGCCAAGCACCTGCGCATGCAAAGCACAACAGTTTCTTTTTAGCGACTGCGGTGCATCGATGCCGTTGCATGATGCCCCAAAGCGTAACCATAACAAATGTACCTTTTAAGCTCCAAAGCGGAAAACTCACCCTCTGGGTCGTAGTTGCTAAGATCTTCATGTACGCTACGGCTAAATTCAAGAACTTGTCTCCAAGTGTCTTCTGATATAGCATGTCGCTGATGTATCTGCAGGGTCAAACCACACAGTTGCATTAAACCCACTTAATGCACTGGACTGTGTCTTCATTAAAACATTTGTAAGACAAGCATAGTACATGTGAATATACTTCAACAGGACATATACCTGGACAAAAGCACACCATTGATCAAGTAATCTGAAACGTCCCGTCAACGCCAATCTCCACGCTTTGACAGCGGTACTAACAGCTGCACCAATCATGCCAAAAGCTATCATGTAAGTCTTGAGACGACCTACGGCAGTAGTTTGCTACTGAAAAGCAAAAGAGAATCATATAGGTCATTCTTCTTTGTTGTCTTTCAAATCATGCTTCCAGTACTTAGCCCTGGTAATAGAGTTTGAATTTCTGTTCAAGTGAGCATGTAAATCTTTCGGCAAGAAAAGAGTTGCAAAAGTCAGCTTACAGATGCTCTTTTGACCAAGCTCTCGGCACATGAAGAAAACAAAACCGTAAAATATTGAGAAATTCCGCGTGTCCATAAGCTGCAGTGCACAGTACATCCACCTTAGCCACTAACCTCATTCATGATCCCAAAATGTTGACCAACTTCATCGAACAGCGAAGATTGGCACTGACGGCTTACAACCATAACTCAAAATCTACTGGTAGACATAAAAGTACCTCAGTTTGGAGTTGAGAGCATAAACTCCGAAGGCCATCAAATGCTGCCTGCCTGCATACCAAAGAGCTGTAACTAAGTGAGCATTACCAGAATCTCAGAGCTGCAATCTGATCATCAACAATTTTTTGAGCCTGTAGAAGATATTCTTCAAGATGATAAACCCTAATCAGATGCGCTCTGTTATTCAGTCATAGGTTAATCACGGTGCGATTTGGGATACTACAACACCTTCAGGGTTATGAAATTGCGCTCATCACTGCAAGGAAAGACACTAACCCTGTCAAGCCTTGGGACTCGGCAAACACGGATAAAGCTGACAGTCTCGCCTTTATCTTGCTGGGTGCCTCATTTGCTGTTACCGCATCTGGGAAGAAAATGGAGAGAAGGTCAGTCATCCACGCCAATGCAAGAGATATCAGTAAGAGTACACTCATACAATATTTAATTAGAAGAGGAGATAAAAACACAATCTCTGACACATAGAGACCTAAACCTAGTAGTTCCTCTCCCATAAAGCCAACATGCCTCCAAATGGACAATTACCTGCGTACTCAGAATGGATATCCATCGTTCGTGTGTCGCCAACTCCTCGCCCCAGGGTTCGGGTGGCGTACGCCGCGGTCATGGTGTGCTGGTGACACGGCGAAAACAAGCCTCTCGTGCTCCTCAGCCAAAAGGCGGATTTCCGAACACAGTCCTGAACAGGCTCCTGAACGGCATCGATCCACAGCTCACCAATTCTATACAGTCATCGCCCTCCTCAAATCTGAAACAGGAGAGGCACGCACTCAAAATTCAAAGGAATCATTGAACAGAACACCAACTATATTCGAAATGCGGCAAATAAGGAGTCAACTCAAAAGCCTAAAACTGCGAGAAACAAATAAACTTCAGAGAACCAACAATCTGTTAAGCAACGACCTGTCCACTACTCCTCTCCCAAATATATCATCTCATCATTTGAAATCTAACTTTCAAATCTCGAACGCCCTCCATTTCCTTGCTATGACTCTCTACGAGAAATTGGTCCCATAATAACACCGCAGGCATCCAACACCAATGCCGTTTACAAGGGAAACGCACCAGTCTCGCGAAAAACCCGAAGCAAACGACAGTAGCCCGCAGCACTGCTACACTCCTAAACCGACAGAGGCGAGATGTTGACAAAGCTTCTTCCACTTCACGATTGTGTCACTCCGCCGAGCAAATCAACGTCGCGATTGTCGACGACGACATGATCCGTTTGAACCGATTAGCGTGACACTCGCAAACGACCGACCGAATAGCGGCACGTCCCTCTTCTAGCTCTGTCTGTATCATTGTCAAACGCGAACGAACGAAAGAACGAACGAACGAGCGAATGAATAAACTATTTGGTTGAAATGGACGAATAGTGGAATTCATCTTTGGACGGATGGTTTCCCTTGGTTGGATGATTGTTCTCTCATCCAATGGTTCACTGATGCACGACTGGTCTCTTCGCCCTTTCACTGGGTTTTTGTAATCCATGTTCTTAGAAAAGTGAATAAAGTATACATATTTTAAGATCCATTTGCATTTCGATTGATACTATAGTTATTGGTAAAATGAAATTGGAATGAAATTAAAAAATATTGAAAGATAAAAAAAACCAGGACTTGAAATGCATTGTGGTGTGCAATACAAGTTTAGGGCAGCTGTGGTGGCATTACCAATACATGTGATGATAATAACAAAAACTGTGGTTTTACTAACAACACCTTATTAATATATCTTCTTATATGTATAGATATGTTATTTTTTATATTTTACGATAGAACTCTCAATTTTTTCTTACATTTACAGAGATTATGCCCATAAAATTAATGATATAAGACATCTTTTTTTAGTATTGTTTTGGTCTAGATCACTACAAAATTTGATAAAATTTTATTTAAAATAAAAATAGGAGTTAAATTGGAATATCTACATCAACTGGTTGCATGCATTATAGATTCAATGTAAATGAAATAAAAATCAATGGTTCACGAAGGTAATTATTACACTAAAGAAACAATTGATCTTTATTATTGAAGTTATTGGTAAGCAAAACCTTTGTGTTTTGGATGCAATTTTTTGAATTACAAAATAAAAACAAGGATACTGAAATTTTGTTTAAGTCTTTGTTTGTGCAAAAAAATTCAGAAATAGAGACTTTGATCTTTAAGTAGTTGGTATCATCTTCTAGTAGATGTTGAGTATTTTAAATAAATTTGTTTTACTAATAATCAAATGGCCAAATAATGGAAAGTGCAATAAAATTTTAAAATACAAGAAATTGCAAAATAGGATGTAAAATTTGTATTTAAAGTATTCTAAAAATATACTTTAATTGTGGAGAATTAGTCATGGAGCATGGACGAAATTTAGATACTATATATTTAAATGATCTTGTATAATATATTTAATAATAAAATAAATCATAGATATTTAAAGGATTTGAATTCCAAAAAATATAGCAACAAAAAAAAATTTAATGTTTCAAGGTTTAATAGTAACTTTCTAGAGTTGAGAAAAAAAATTAAAAAATAAATAGTATAATTTAATTAAGAAGAAGTTTGACTAAGTATTTTTTAATATTTTTTGGAAGAATTAATCACTTACTTTTTTCATCATGTAAAAAAAATATATATCTTTTTATATTAAAAGAAATCAACTTATTTTTTTAACAAATGCTTGAATATTTTTTTTATAATTCTATTTCTTCTATTATTATTACTATTATTATTTTATTTAGTCTAAATCCAATTAAATTGTCATAACTTTTCATGGTTGGAATTTGATTCATGTCATGTTTTATACATAGATTATATTTTATTAAATGGAATCTACTCCATTAATATCCAATTCTTAAAGAGAATGTTAAAATTAAATAACAGTATTAAATATTTACATTTAAAAAAAATGATTTTGAATCATAAGATAGATTTCTAAAAGAAACAATACAATGATGCAAATAAATAATTAAATATCATCTACATATAATGCAAACAACTATGGATATCTTGCATAATCATAATTCAAGTTGTAGTAATAATAAATTTAATAACCACTTAAGATATTCATGGCTGGTATTCATAAATAAAATAAAACAGCAGAGTAAAAATAATATATGTATATACATTTCAATATCAAGTTGTACAAATGAAAAGATCACTATCCCTTCTTATAGCTTCTTGGTGACTAGTAGGGTTCTAAAAGGGGATGAGTTTTTTTATTTAGTGAGGAGACTATTAGAGAATTTAAAATAATTTTATCATATTGTGGAATTGATAAGGTCCAGTTTCCTAAATCAAATTCCGAAAGAGGATTAAAAAATGTATATACACAAAAAATGAGCTCTCACTGAATATTATTAAAATACCTTAGCACCACCTTCATCCTCAATGTCATAAATACGTCATACTGTAGAATTTAGCCAACTTAAGTTGGGTAGTTAAGCAGCAGTGCACAGAACCAAAATTCTGAGACATAATCGCAAATCCCACTGACTGAAACATACGCAACCAAATACTCTAAAGCATGAGAGGAGATAAAACAAAAAACGCATTTTCTCTGCATATGCACGATGAAGAAAAAATTCAGGGCACAAATTTCCAAAATCAGACGCGCACATATCTGCATTGATCGATGCGACAAAATGAATGACAATTTGAAACTGAGCCTGTACACAACTCACTCATAAATCTCTTCTACACTGTCTGTTGGGACAAACTTTGTACAAGGTATGCCAAAGATGCAAAGCACCCTAAAATACATTCGAAGTGCGTGCACAATGAGCATGGACACCCGCAACCAGACAGCTGCGCCTCTATACCCTTCAATCTCCTATCAACCTTGCTGGTGTGACCAACCGCAACACCACAGACCACCACCCAAAACATGAGCACCATAGGGCCTGCTTAACCTGCTGTCCTTGTTCTCAGATCCCCACTTGGAGCAAAGACAAACCCTGCTAACAGCACCTGACATTCACGTTTATCTCAAGCGCAACATGTGGTTTTAGCAGGGGTAAGGCGGCTTGACGACTTATCTGTGAGTGAAACTCCAGTTGCCTGGGCGGGTTGCGCTTTGGGTAGCTTCCTTGCTGCGAAAATCATAAAAAAATCAGGTCTATGACAGACACCAAAATAACGTGGTGTTCAAATGCAGTCACCTAGTATAAAAGACAAGCTATCAGAAACGTACGTATCAAAGTTACCCAGAACAAGAGCATCAAATGTACTTCTCGACCATTCTTATAATGGGACACGAAGAGAATTCCTTCAAACATGTGCAACCATGATGTTATCCTCACCATCACCCTGTCAAGAACCTCAAAAAATACTTTTCCCATACATGAGATCGAACTGAAACCAAATTAGAAAAGCAATAAGCAAGTACCAATTTCGTAGAATAACTCGTTCACATTCTGAGCAGTTTTAGCTGAAGTTTCCATGAAGAACAGCCCATTCTCCTCGGCGTACGATTGACCCTCCTGGAAATGAAAAGCACCCTGTTGAGCCCGCCAATCACACCAACAACTTGCTAGCAAGATTCAAGTTCCAAGAGTTCCTTCAGACGTGCACGCTAGGAAGCAGGTAAGTGCAACAAACCTCTGCTTCGACTTTTCTCTTCGCAGATAGATCAGCCTTGTTTCCCGCCAACGCCATCACCAAATTGGGATTGCCTGTACAATCCACCAATCAACAAACTTAAATAACCTTGATCGTTGCCATCCAGTTGGGCCACATGCATACTCAAGAACGCATTATATTTCATAGAAATACTCTGCTTCCACAGGACTAAGTTACAGCAAAATCACACTCCAGTACCTTGTCTTTGAAGCTCTTGGACCCATTTCTTCGCTCTCCCGAAAGAATCCTGAAAACCCAGAGAAAAGGATAAGCATGAACCACACTGGCATTCCAAAGGCCACATTCGAAAAAGGCGAGCCCCTAAATTAGAATTTCTTTGTGTGACGCTGTTGCAGTCCACATGTATTATAACTAGATCCCCAACTGTTCTACACACGCACCATCTCTTAATTCATACGCCATGGAGGTTTATGTCATTAAAGCTTCACAATCCCGAACACAATAAAGACAAGGACAGGCTCAAAAAGCTTCACTGGATTCCCCCAATTCTAACTACCATCAACTTGAAATTCACATGAAAAGCTTGTCTGTCCGTGGCGATGACGCCCAAATCCACCGACTGCAGAGCCTTACTCTAGATGTTAAAACATGTATCAGATGGGCATGAACTACATACAGAGTTTGTGATGTCATATACGATGATAGCTGCAGCAGCACCCCTGTAATACATAGGTGCAAGACTGTGGTATCTTTCTTGCCCAGCTGTGTCCCATATCTCAAACTTAACCGTAGTCTCATTGACTGCCAATGTCTGTGTGAGGAAAGCTGCTCCAATTGTAGACTCCTACAAGAATAACCCACCCCCATTCAAAAACATATATTAGGTTTTACACATAGCAACTGATCAAACACATAGATCGTGCTCGGTCTCCAATCCCGTTAATTTAGTCATTCACCCAACCATGATCTTGAAATATAGACATGGAACTAATTGAGAAACGAGAAGGAACAATAATACACCAAATGCACCACCCAGTACCTGATAATCAAAGAACTGGCCCCTCACAAACCGTAGAGAAAGGCTCGATTTCCCAGCTCCCATGTCTCCAAGCAAAACCTGCAACAGAGGAAATTCGATAAAACCGCCAGCACATAAAATAAGACGAGTCCTCTAATCCAAATCCCCATGTGACACAAAACAGCACAAAACGAAGAAGCCGCCCCCAAAAAAAGAAATCACTACTCACAAGTTTCGCTTGCGTGTGATTAGCGCCTGTGGTGGCCATAGTGCTCAACCCAATTCGTCGCTGGCTGCAATTCTCCCCTGCCAAAGCTCCTGGTGACACCGCAACCTGGGAATAACCCAATCACCGACGAAGCGAGAAGCACGGGATCTGAAGTGAATGATTTGTGAGAAATGCCAGAAGTACGATGACAACAGAGGAATAGTAGGGTAAGAGGAGGGTGAGCAGGCAGGCAACCCCGAAAGAGGGTGATGAGCAGAAAGCGGGGTTGCAAGCAGAGAACGACGAAAAATGAGAAGGGGAAACACACACTGGTAACAAGAACCTTGGTGGGCGAAATACGTTGGAGAGACAGGCGATGCGCGGCGAGACAGGAACGTGAGGACGAAGACTGCAACGGAGGGAGGAGGGTGACTGACGGCAGCGTAGGACGAGGAGGAAGAGGAGGACGGAAGCTTCCAGCGTCGTCGGGGCAGGACTCCTCGTTGTGCGCTGCCATGTCCAATCATTCCATGCCACCTTAACTCCTCCCGCGGGTCTCAGGTGCCTACGTGGACTACGGGTACTGATTGGTGCCTGGGTCCTTCCCCTGCGACTTTATTCTTCAGGAATGCCACTGGATTTGCTTGCCTTCGCAAATTGGGTATCAACGACGGTGAGAAGCTTCTTGGATTCCTTTGAAAGGCATAATGCAATTATTACAAATCCAAAACTAAAAACAAGAAAGGTATTGACAAGAATTAAAAAAACTTCAATCTTGCTTCCATATATACTATATAACTAGAAGCTACATAACAATATTTTATAAGACCTTCAATACATGTCCAACTTGTATTGAGATTGAAGATCATTTAGTTGTACTTCACCTTCTAGAACACATAAGCGTCCTTCAAAATATAGGAGATTGTTCTTGAATTCAAACATAAAAATATCATGAAATTTAAAGGATCACTTTTAATATTATAAATAATAAGATATAAGGACATACTTGATTAAACTTGCTTAAAAAAAGTTGAATTGACTTTTCATATTGATTTATAGCTCAAAGATGAAATTACTCTAGCTTCAAAAGAATTATTTAATATAAATAAAAAATTAAATATCTTTTTTTGTGTAATATAAGAGTATCTAAAAATAATATCTAATAAATATTATTTTTTTTATTGATAAATAATTTTGAATCCAAATCTTAAAAAAAAAAATGCTTAAATAGATGCCAAGGATAAGATGTTCAAGACATGAATGTCAAAGAATTAAAAGATCAATTCACTCCTATATCACTCAAAAAGACTAGAGAATCATTCAAAGATGTATAATATTAAATTAGAATGGCTATTGTTAAAGACAAGAAAATTAGAAGGTCTTGAAATAAGACTAAAGATTAAAAAAACATTGAGAAGAAAGAAACAAGCTTCATTCTTGCCTCCATATATACTATCTAACTAAGAGCTATGTGACAACATTCCATAAAACCTCCGATATATGTTTAATTTATGAAACATATGTTTTAACTTGCAAAGAAAGTTTTTTATATGTGCACCACATTGTTAGCTTGTATCACAAGGTATTTGCATGTATGACACATAGCTAACTTGTTGGCTAAGGTTCTAATCTATTAATTAATTATAAACATCTATAGAGTCAAATATGTGTTCGTAAAGCTTTTAAAAAACTTTTCTACAAGATAACATTAAATCTACATACATATATCTTTTATCTAGTACTTTTTATTCAAATAAATATGTATGTTTGTGACATTACCTCCCTTTTTAGGCAAAAGTTCCACAAGAAGCAACTATCATATGTTGAGAAAGTCTAAGATGTGGCATATTATATTTATTACATATTCTAATCTTTATTCTCTTTGAAGGTGGTTAATAGGTCTTCTTAGCCATCAATAGTGTTCTATATCAAGGCAAAAAGATTAGTATGTTATTTCATCATTTTTAAAGCCTTTATAATTTTTTTCAAATAAAATATTTTAAATACCATCAAAAAATTTTCTTACTTCTAATAAAATTATTAAAATAAGAATATTAGAAGAAATTCTTAATATTATTCTAAAGTTCTAATATCAAATACATTATATCTTACTATCTATTTGAAGCAAAATATATTGTTCTTGAAGATCTTTATTTCTATTATATTATCTCAAATGCTATGACAATTGTAATATCTTATTCAATAAGTTAGTAAATGATAGTTTTTGAATTAAATCTATTAGCTATTGGTTTTCTATCTCTTTAGTACTACAAATAGATAAAAATAATAATTAAGAATAGAAATTAGGTTGTAATCTTTTATAAATCTTGTTTTTTTTGTAATAAAGATTTATTATTTTTATCTTGATTTTGATGTATGTTGTTAACAAAAAATATTAATTTTTTTCCTATATTTGTAAGATTTTTGGTAGGCTCTTATATATGTTCAGTAATATTATATCTATGCCAATGAATAAGATATTCCAACCTAATTTAATATCACCTTGAATCTAAGATTTCTTCAACCTCATATTCTTGATTATTGTCCACTTCTATAGGAAGAAGTGATATTTGTCTTCTTTTTGAAATATTTACTATCTTACATGATTCAAGAAAAAACTTAAGAAATATAAGATGAATCTTCATATACTTCAATAAATATAATCAATAAGTAACATGATTAATTTTTTCACATATAAAAAATGGTCAAAGCCTATAATAATCCAATTTATCATAAATATGTCTAGTCTTGATATTGCAACAAAGTAATTGTATCTTATTGCCAATGTAAAATTGAAGGTATTCTTTGTAATAGGCATCCACATTAGTCTTTTGTCATTCTTGAGCTATTTCTAATTATACCTTAATTATTCTATATAGCTCATGTAAAAAATTTGCCAAATCTTTTATTATAGAATTATTAACTTTTAAGAAGTCAATAGCATCAAGTTGTAGATAATAACCATAATTAATAAAAAAAATTGGTACATAGAAAAATATATCATATTATTATAAATAAATTCTATCAAAAGTAAAAAAGTTATATCATCATCTTATTGATAGTTGATGATATATTTCAAATACTTCTCCAAAATTTGATTTATGTACTTTGTTTGTTCATTGATTTGAAGATGAAAAGTAGAAGAGAGCTTTATGTCTACCTTTAAAATCTTAATACAAATTAAAATCTCCTATTCAATATAATATTTTTAGACAATCTATAATAGTGATAGATATTGTCAAGGAAAAACTTAGTTATTTCTTTACTTATGATGGATTTTGTAGATGGCACAAAATATGTCATCTTTGTAAAATGATGTACTATTAAAAATAAAAAATCATACAAATCTGAGACTAAAAGAACTGTGATAAAATCTGTAGAAAGAGGAGACTTAAGTTATTTTGAAATAGGTAATGGCTGAAGAATTCTATAAAGTTGATAACAAAGAGTTTTTGATCTTGAACTAATGTTACATAATTTAATAAAGTCTTTGAATGCCTTTCACATTTGAGACAAGTAAACATCTCTTCATATTAGTTCTAAAGCCTCATTGTATCAAATATGTTTGGTAGTTGGAAAGTTATGATGAGGTTAAAGAATACATTATTATATAATAATATAATTATATAGTGAAAAATAAAAATATGGATGTTATTATAGAAGATCTTATTAAAAAAATATAATAAAAAAATAATAATAAATGATAGAAAGATAGTAAAAGATTTAGTCTTAATATTATCTTTTTGTGTTAGGAACTATATACAAGACAAGGATTCAAGACCAAGAAATGGAATTAGCTTGATATTAGAATAATAATTGAATATAAGGCAAGAAGGTCTTGACTAAATCATAAGAAGTGAGTTGTAGAGACTGAGGATCCCTTCAACCTCGACTCCTATATATACTAGGTCTTAGAAAGCTTCTTGAAAAGTTTCCATGAGGCTTGGAAACAAAGCAAGCCTAAGATCCTTCTTCGACAACTTCCTAAATCATCTAAAGCCTCTTAGAATCTACTAGGATCTCTTATGACCTTCTAGAATTTTCTTAGAATCTACTAGAACCTTTTGGAACCTTCTTAGAACCTATTAGAACCTTCTAGAACCTTCTAAGATCTATAAGAACCTTCTTAGAATCTTTTAGAACTTATTAGAATCTTTTCAAATTTTCTTCAATTGTATGTGAATGACATCACCGCCTCTTCTAGCTTTGAGGTCTCCGAGAAGCAATATTGCTGCAAGTTAGTATATGTGCAAGAAGTTGAAGATCTGTTGCATAGTGTCCGCTATATATTCTAGTTGTTTTTTGCAAGGCAAATGGTTCATAGGTCCTTATAGCCACTGATAGTATTCCAAGTCTTTTACTTATGATTAAGCATGAATTTTGGTATCTTCATTATGAAATTGTCTTACAAACATTCTTTTTGGATGTTCTTTATATACAAGTTCTATCTCAAATACAATTACCAATGACCTATTATTAGATATCATTTGATGTCTTTGTGGTTTAGGGGGCTCTTCATCTTAAGGTTGTTTCTGCAAGCTAATTAGTTGAGATGGTATGACTGATAGGACATCTATCTCTTGACTATGTAGATTACATAAAATAAAAAAGACCAAAAGAATATAAATAAGCTATGGTCGTGAACTCAAACTATTAACTTATGTTCTTTTAAATATTTGAAAATATTGTCTCTTCAGAGATTGCCTCCTTTTTTTTTTTTTTATGAGGCCAAGAACTAAGAATCTTCTGGTGAAGCCATCTTATTAAGCTAGTGTTCTTTATTTTATCACTTTTGGTTTAGATAGATGTTGTTGATAGAACTTTTGAACCTTCATTTGTGCACTTACAAGATTGCCAGCTAGTTTCCACGTGTGATTGTTGATATCATACCAATGCCAATGAACTAGATATTCAAGCCTTCTATATCTTATCCTTGAATCTAATACCTCTTCTATCGCAAATTCAACATGATCATTGATTTCAACCATATGAGGTGGTCGTTCTCTTCAACCTGATATGTTCAATTTTTTATACCTTTTCAAAAGTAAAACATGAAAGATTGGATGAATCTTCATGGATGAAGGTAATTCCAAGCAATAAGTTATGTTATTAATTTGTTTTTGAATTCCAAATGGTCCCAACCTTAGGTAGTCCAACTTATGACATGACCTGTTGGTTTTTATATTATACCTAAAAAACCACACTTTATCACTAACTTAGAATAAAAGACATTCTTTCCTCAATTCATTTGCTATTAGCTTATAACATTGTTGAGCCATTTCTAGGTGAGTCTTCATGGTTGCTTGAAGTTCGGCCATTTTTGTAGCAAACTCCTCTACTGTTGGATTTGTCGACTTTAAAGATTCTATCATATCCAACTTTGGATGATGACTATAATTTGAATAGAATGGTGTTTGTTGCATAGATGCATGGATTGTGTTGTTATATGCAAACTCTACCAACAACAAGTAGGAAGTCTAGTTG